ATTGTGTTGCTTATAAATTAAGACATTATCTTCCGCAGTAAGTACAGTGGTAAATAACCATCATATGATACATTATTTCAAAACGTCGCCCTGTTTATGTCGGTAGAGCAGTTATCATCGAGCGTGCATATTTCTCCTGTTCTCTACCAATTATGAGTGGTGGTGGTTCCAGCTGACGACCCGCCGTGATATTGCTGGAATATTGCTAAAGCCGGCGTAAAACTAAACTCAGTCAGTCAGTCCAGCTGACGATGTCAAACTATCAACGTTCCAGGAATTACCACCTCAAATCTAAACAATGCCAGGTAAGCAAAAGAAATGATTATAAAAACATATTTTTAAACGTCGGTACTACTGTTTATTATTTTTCTTTTTGTTTTGCCAGTCTAAGGTTTGCCAGCATTAGCCACTACAGTCGTTTAACGTCTGCTCAATAATTGATCAGCTAGACTTAGTCAATGTAACCACACGTTCGTTCGGGTACAGGTTATGCCTCCATGTTGGGTCTATAGGAATTTTAACCAAAGTGATGATTACTTGTAAACCTTTCGTTTGCTGAAATGAATATCTGACGGCAGGGTTTCCTCCCTTTAACCAGCTACTGTAATTCGTATTCGAAATCGTCTATTGTCTGGAGTTAAAGTTGACATAAAACAGGATATTGTTGGTAAGGCGGTGGCAGAGTGTGTAAATGCTCCAGTATGGCTTTCGATTACATGGAATTAGAATTAAACCTTAATTTGAGAACGGAAATAGGCAAGCATGGCCATTCAAGAAAAAAAAAAACCCGAGTGCTATATGTTCACTACGTTTTATAGCACAACATAAAAGACATAGTGTTCGATTTATGTATTGTGTGTGATGAGAATATAAGCAGACTTCTGAATCTCTTATGCATCATGATACAAGTTCTATTCAGCTTTTCAATAAGTGTTATGCATTGTTCTCATGACAGCCGAGATTTGTAGGCAGTCGCGTAATAGTAGAAAATATAGTAAGAATCTGACGGCGGCATTACCTTGGTAAGAATCTGACTGCGGCAGTACCATCGAAACTAAACAATATGTGAGGTGATTTTAGCATTGTAACTGGAATGTTAACCCAGATATAAATTAGAACACAACTAAACACATTTTATTGAATCCCAGAATATACAGTAAAAAAACCGTCGGGTCCAATTTGTTGCAAAAGCATTAATTCACAGTTCCTATAATATTAATTTGTGAAATTGTCACACTTGAATGTCTTGAATGAGGAACGTGATCCATTCTTAATTTTTCATAAACTCTTGAAGGTCTTTTCGAATTCTTTAAAATCAATACACTGGTAAACTGATTCATTTCCAAAATATAGAACGTCAGTGCCAAGTCTTGAATATCTGTAGAAACAAATTCCGTTTGGTGTAATACTCAAAGCTGAGAAAACACGTTATCTGGTGACACTATATATGAACCAATAACTATGCTATGTAAGTTTTCAAAATTGCATGCTGAAATATAATCAACACGTCACAAATTAATTCTGGACTCAGAAAAGTCTAGAAACTCTCCGCACTGTCGGCACTTCCTGACAAAGGGATTTGACCAAATTAAACATGCAGTTGTTATGAATATATGCCTAGGATGAAAAAATGAATTTTTATTTTCGAAAACCTTAAATTTAAACTCGCTCAGTGGCGAGAATGTTTAATTGGCACAGAATTCATGTCTTGAAGGTTGTAAATTAATGAAAGTATGTTTATAAGCATCATGACTTTTGGAGGTTGTAAATGAATGAAAGGGGTGCTTATAAGTTTCATGACAGAAAATTCAGCTCAGTTTGACTTAATTCGGCTAACTTAGAGCGATATTTAAAACTCTGCATTATTTACAGTAACATGGATTAGCTAATAGCGCATTGCCGGGAGACCCACATTCCCACGATCACTCAACCATACCCATTGCCGGTTGAGCCACACTTTTTTCAACTCTTGTTTTCTTAAAAGTGGCTTTCCCGGGCTATAACTATTAGCACACCCCAATCCGACCATCTGTCATTAATTACCTGTCATGAGCTATCAGTTGTATTGAAAGCTCTCGCCTATTCTTCCATTAATAAATTATTTCGCGGATAGGTATGTAGTCACTCCAACTTCACCATATGTTCGTGACTGTCCTCTCCGACGTCCGCGCCCACCTCTCAACCTAGCAATCTCGATCCACTTTAAGCTCACTATCAAGCCATCTATAACTTTTCTCTCTCTCCAACCACCTGTCTTCTCAGAGGTCCGCGCGCCTCTCTCTCTAAGGCCCGTAAGTCTCGCGAGGCGCTACTTCCGCTTCTAGATTTCCGGTGAAAAGCGAATACTCAAGAGCCAGTTCTGGTGCCAAATTGCGCGACCGCCAAATATGACCTTACTAGACCGGACCAAGTGTACTACCATGCTTGGCTGTCACAGCCGGTGACAGTCATAATAACTGGATCATTTGGGGACCCTACTACCCCAGTTTAACTCACTCACTCACTCAAAACATCAAACGTCCAAGGATTTTTACCTCGACCCAAAGATCTAACTTACGGGACTACCCAGTAGACATCACTTGCTTGATAACGGTTTTGGCAGCTATGCCGAAAGGGGTGTCCCCAGTTTGGCAGCAAGTATTGTTTAAAGGTTCCAGGTCAATCTTGAAACAACAGGTGATACAGTTTTTTCGTTAACCCTGAGCTGGTTAACACAGTTCACCTAACCACTGTGCTGAGCTCGTGAACACAGTTCACCTGCACTGACACTAATACGAGTGAGTGATCAATTTAATGATTTATGTTATGAACACATCACTTATGGCGGTGACATATAAATCTGATAAATTCAGAACGGAGCTACACAGAAATAATATTGATGCAGTTGCAGGGTGGTGGTTGTGTAAGACCTAAGAAGAACAAGTACCGCCAGCTTGAAGAACGGCTAGACCGCGAGGATAGACTGCTGCAAGATGGTGTCGAGACTCCACGTGCTTACTGTGTGTCTCACCTTGTGGGACTATGAATAATGATGTATGCTTGTGATATTGTGTATAATGTGATATTTTGTAATAATGTTTGTTTGTATCATGATGGTAGTGCTAATATTGCCTAATGGTTGTATTTTTTAATACTGTTGATGAGATTGATTATAATGATAACATGTATGTTGAAATAAATGAATGAATGAAGTCACAGTGTCAATTCTATCGGCAGCCTTAATACCCTGGACCATATTACACAGGGAACAACCTGCCCTGCACGCTCATTCATGTGTGTCCTCTTATTCCAGGTAACCCCCTGCTGCCTGCTGGGGGTACACCGCCGAAACGCCGCTTACATTATAATAAAGAAGTTGTATATCCATATAACTTTCTCAGTTGTTCAAATTATCATCGTCTCAAAAAATATTGCATTGACATACGAATTAATGAGAGATTTTCAAGTTATTATGTTGTCATCCACATGTTGATTTAGCTGGTTTCTTCCTCAGTTCCAATTTCATCATTCTGAGTTTCATCTCAGTTGAGTATTTCAGTGTAGCTCGCAAAGACGAGGTCACGGAGCGGAACGATGACGTTTAGTGTATCTCCGCGTTCAGTTACGTAGTTTCCGCAAAGCACCTGCGACAATTTGCGCCGAAAAAGTAGTTCTGTCCCATCCGTTGGTCTTGTGTATTGGAGTTAAACAGCCGTGAGTTTCAAGTGTATTTAGCTTTCCATATACACAATCCATTGATCACACTGGGCGAGGTGTGAGATATACAGGTGCTCGTGAGGGTGTTTTGTTGAAAAAGACTGACCGCGTATAACGCGCAGCCAAATATCGCACATTCTAAGGAAATCTCGAATTGATTGTTTTATAAGGTGTCGAGCTGACCAATTCGAATTCTGCTTGGGGTTACTCACTCTAGATTTTTGTGTTTTGTTATGTGTATAAACTTTCTTTGTCATGTGACATTAGGGTGTAAATATATTGTTGTTTACATTGGTGATGCATTGCAAAAACCTTATATGCCAAGGTATGCACATGAATAATCTTGAATTTCAACCTTTTGTTAAATTCTCTTTTGTGCATTTGTCATACAAAATTGGTGTGTATGTATGTGTGATTGAACAACCCTATTTACTGAGATAGGAATAGGAACTTTGACCTTTCTCAAGATGTGCGCATATTAGTCTGTAAAAGACATTGACATTTACAGTCCGTTTGATTTCTTTTGAGACCGATGAATTGCTCAATAACACAAAATCTAATAATTGCAAGAAAACCAATTTCTTGCACAGTCATATGAAATCGACAGACCAACTCTAATGATTTGTCTCATAATTTTGGACACCCGAATAAAAAAGTTGTTTAACACACGATCGTTGTTTTGTTGGCACTTTTCGCTATTCCTAACGAGAGGGGGGCCGTTTGCTGGTAGAACAGCCATGTAATCAACAAGCGTGTGTTTCAATTTCACAGGTACAACTCGCACACCTGGCTGTTCTACCAGTTGGGGCTCCCTCATTAATTCCCTATTTAACCTTAGCATAGACTATTTATTTTCTTTGGAAGTGGTTATTGGCGAACGTCAATAGGATTGACAAGACATATTTCAATACAGTTAAAGCTCTCACAATACTGTTTATGTTACAAGAATTACAGGTGAAAAGTAATATTTCATATTCAACAATTTCTTAATTTTAACTGTTCCGAAGTGTATGTTTTGATATTATCTTCGCGTACACGTATACCATTGACGAGCCACATTTCGCATGTTGTTCGTTAACAAATTAATAAATAAGCTCCTGTACTGAGGTTTATCTTGCTGGGAATTCTGTTCTGTTTCATGAATCAATGTATCAATGTGTCAGATACAGTTTCCAACACAAGGTAGTACCTTTGTGTTGTTCTATGAAGCCATATCACATAAAAATGATAGAACTCTGGGTCAATCGCAGATTGTTGCGAATCGGCATTTTTGAAAATATTTTCGGTCGTCACTCGATCCTGAACTTGGTGGTAAAAAACGGTGCTTTTTCAGTGCTTCTGCATTCTCAAATCATCTACTATACAATATCACATCATACTGTAGTTAGGTAACTTGTTCCATGGCATTACTTCTAATGGTTAAAGTGCCTAGTGACTACATATGATGATGATTATGTGTTTAACGTCGGGGTTAAGTTGGACGGGGAGAGGCGGGAGGGGGGCTGAGGGGAGCGAGAGAGGCGCAATGAGGCATAGGCCGGGTTGAGGGACAAGCGGTGGTAGTAAGCTGGCTGGCGAGTGACCTTGACCTTGGCAGTGTGGGCTTGTGACGGGTTGTTTACATTAGCGAGAGGGGAGAGCGAGCGTGGCGTGTGCAGAGAATGGATAAATGAAATTGAGAGCCGTGTCTTAAGTTGTAGGGGGGCAGAATGGATAACTGAGGTTTGAACGGCTGGCCTGAATGTTGCAGTGAGTGGGAGGTGAGAGAGGTGGCTGTAGCTTATTTAATGAGTTCTAGATTCTTTTTAGAAGGTTTGAGTTTTGTAGAAATAATGTTAAGGCCTTGAAGATACTTGTTGAGTTGTGTGGGTTTAGGAGTAGTGGGATGTTATTGTGATATTTAGAGGGAATGCTGTTTTGTAGTTGCTTGATGTTTGTCTTTTGTAGCTGGCAGTGTATGAGTATGTGATTTATGTCTTCTTGGGTATTACAGTGTGTGCATAGTCCGTCTGCATGTCTATTTTGTTTGTAAAGTGTGTGGTTAAGGTTTGTGATGCCTGTGATGAGTCTGTTTATGGCCGTGTCAATATTTTTAATGTTTGAGAATGTAGGGATTTTCCTTAAGGGTGATCTTATAATGGAAGTAACCCATGTTGATTTGTTGTTGTTTATGTTGTATTGAAAGTCAGTATGAAGAATATTTGATTTTAATGAGTTGTTTAGTTTCTGTTTTGGATGTATGAAAGTTTATATTTGGTGATTTGTGTGTTGTTGCTAATTTGGCTGTATCTGCTGTGTCGTTTCCTAATATGTTTGAATGGCCTGGTATCCAGGTGAAAGTTATGTTTTTATTTGCTCGTTTAAGTGAGTCGGTTTGGATTGTGATATTATGAATGAGATCAGGGCGAGATTTGGAGTACTTGTTATGTATTTGCCTAATGGAGTTTAGTGAGTCGGAGAGAATTAGCAAGTTAGTTTGTGGGAGTGTAGGTATTAGGTGGAGTGCAGTGAGGATAGCTGTTAGTTCTGCTGTTTGTATTGAGGTGTGGTTTGTATAGTGGAGGTTGGTTGTAATGGGGGTGGGGTGGGGTGGGGTGGGGGTTGTTGAATGTGTATACCTATACCAGTTGTTTTGTTTGGGTTGATTGAGGTGTCTGTATATATATGGGTGTGTGTTGGGTAGTTATTGTTGATGTAGTTGTTTGTGATGTTAGTTATGGTGGGTTTGTTGGTGTTTTTTGGTAACTGCTGGAGAATGTTGTCTAGGGTGGTGTCTGTGGTGGGTGTGGGTATGTCGTGAATGAAGCTTGTAATGGGAGGTGTGTGTTGTATGTCGTTTAGCTGTTGTGCCTGTAGTAGTTTATGGAGGTTGGTGAGGCATGGAGCTTTTAGGGGATTTAATTTGAATTTTTTGAGTGTTGATTTTTTAATGTTGCTGTATTTATGTGTGACGAGTATAAATATTGTGTTATGTTGGGCCCCAGCCCAGTAAGTGAGTGTTGTTTGGTTGATTCTTTGTGTGAATGAAGTGGTGCCTGAGAGTAAAAGTAATGTGTTTAGGGAGGTTCCAGTCCTCGTGCCTAGGGCTAATTTTAGGGCTTTATATTGGATGGAGTTTATTTTTTGGAGGTTACAGGAGGAGAGGGAGTGGAGGATCGGGGCGGCGTAGTCCAGTTTAGGCAGTATGAGCGTTTTGTATATGTTAATAAGTGTATGTTTGTTGGCTTCCAGTTTGTGCAGCTGATGGCCCTCATTAAGTTCAGATCTTTTTGACAGGAATTGACCAGGTTATGAATGTGGTGAGAGTCCATGACATATGTTGGTCAAAGGTTACTCCTAGAATTTTGCTTCCTTTTTAATTCAATTTTTGGTTATTTAGGCGCAGTTTAGGGTGTGAAATTTTGCATTCTTTGTGTTTTGAAAGAGTATGCCCACGTTTTTAACATTAATGAGGAACCCCCACTGTTGGGCCCAATTTTTGAATATGGTTAAGCATTTTTGGCATTTTGAAGAGACTTGTTTGACAGAAGTGGAAGAATTCCAGAAGGAAATATCGTCGGCAAATTTGGCTTTTGAAATTTCAGGCCATTTATCTGGGAATATGTCGTTGATCATGAAATTAAAAAGTGTTGGTGATAATATGCTGCCCTGGGGAGTCCCTTGTTCTAGGGGATGGGGGTCCGAGAGGGTGTTGTGAGATTTGAGGATTATCTGTCTATTATTAAGGAAATTTGGATGAAATTTAGAATTCTGCCGTTGATGGCATATTTTTGGAGTTTTTGTATGAGGCCGTTTTGCCAAACCATATCAAATGCTTTACTAAAGTCGATGAAAATGGCCATAGTGTATTGTTTTTGTGCATGGGCTACCTTGATGTCTTGTTCCAAATGTAAAATATGGTCTAAAGTTTGCCTGTTTGGAGTAAAGCCGTTCTGGTCCTCCTTAATTAGATTTTTTGTGTATATAAGGTGTTTGAGCCTGTTGTTGATAATGCTTTCTAAAGTTTTACATAGATGAGAGGTGAGGGAGATAGGGCGATAGGAATCAGGCTCATTTCTAGGTTTCCCTGGTTTGAGAACTGGCACCACCTTGTTTTCCATGAGTTTGGGATAGTACCTGAGGTCCAGATATGATTGAAGAGGGAAAGTGTTAAGTTTTGCATGTTAGGTGTTAATTTGTTGAGTATGGTGTAAGTAATGGTATCTGGACCCTGGGCTGAGGCTGTCTTTCTGTTTCTGAGTGCAGATTGGAGTTCGTGTATATTTATTATTTTGTTTATAGGTAGATCGGTGTGTGGTGGTTGTGGGGTGAATGGGGGCTGCTTTTTCATAGTGTTTTGAAAAGAAGGTGGGTAGTTGGTGGAGCTACTGACGGCCGAGAGGTGGGCAGCAAAAGCATTGGCTCTGTCTTTGTTTGTGGCTAGGTCCGGAAGGTTTGGATAAATAGTTTTTTGGGAAATGCCCTTAATGGCATTAAATGTTTTCCACATAGTTCTAGAGTTTCGATTTGTTAGCTTAAGGGTGGAACAGAATTGTTTCCAGTGGTCATTTTTTGCTGCCTCGATTATTTTCTTAGTTTTATTTCTTAGTTGTTTTGCCAAGTGTAATTTCGAAGGGTCCCTCTTGGATTGATTTAGGGCCTTTTTTCTTGCCTTTCTGGCTTTGATGATTTCTGAGCTCCACCAGGGGACTGTTTTTTGTGCAGGGTTATATCGAAAAGTTGGAATGCATTTTTCTGAGATGTCTAGTATGGTATTAGTCAGGTTTGTGTTGAAAGTGTTTATGTCTGTGTTGAAAATGGCTGTGGTGTCTATTTGTTTACAAAGTGTTGAAAATTTATTCCAATTTGCTTTTTTAATGTTGAATCTTAGTTCAGTGGGTGGTTGTGATGGGGTTGTGGTGGGTGTGGTGTGGGTGGGTATGTGTGATTTGATTGTGATTTTGATGGGGCAGTGGTCACTGCCCAGGTATCATTGTGGACCTCCCATATACAAGCTTGTGTAATTTTTGGGTGTGGTGAGAGTGATGTCGATGGCTGTGGGTGAGTGTAGATGGGAGAGGGGTAGCGGGTGGGTTGATTGTCGTTGAGTGAGTTTAGGTTGTGTGTGCTTAGCCAGTCAGTAAGGCGGGTGCCATTTGAGTCAGTATAGGGTCTTGTGCCCCACAGTGGGTGGTGTGCATTAAAGTCACCGAGGATAATGGTTTGGAGACATATATTTTTCCAGAATGTCCAAATCTTGGGTGGTAATTTTGAAATTTGGTCTTCTATAGACATTAATGATGGTTAAGTCTTTATTATTCATTTTAGTTGATATTGCCAGGACTTCGAGATCTTGTACAGGAATTTGCAATATGTTATAGTTTAGTTCCTCTGCAATGAAAATCCCCAGTTAGTTGGCCGAGATCTGTCTTTACGAATAAAATTGTAGCCTGGTAATTTGAAGACGGTTTTGGGGGATAATTTTGTTTCTTGCATGGCTATGATGTCGGGTGAAATTTTGTTATGGGCAATGAGTGCCTTGAGCTCATGCCCATGGGCTCGGAGACTGTTGCAGTTCCACTGTATAAGTGCCATGATTACTGCAATTAGGTAGATGGGTTTTATAAATGCCATGGCGTGGGGCATGAATTTTAGTTTAGAAGGGTTTTTTGAGGGCGATGAGTAGACTGGCCAAGCTTTTGTGGTAGAGTTTGGATTTATGTGCAAGGGTGTATAGTTTTTTGACTGTTGGTTTTTCCATTGTTGTGGCTGCGATGATGAGTTCTACTATTTTGTTAAGGTTTTGGTTTAATTTTTGAGGTGTGAGGGTTAGTGAGGGTTTGGGGGCAGGTGCTGGGTGTTTTTTAGGTGGGAGGGCTTGAGTTTTAATTGTGGGTAGGGGGGTTGGTGGTTTGTGTTGGGAGGTGTTGGAGGGTGGGGTGGGGTTTACGGGGTTTGGAGGGGTGGGGTTTGCGGGTTTGGAGGGGGATGCAGTTTTGGGACGAGATTGTTTAGGTGGGGCAGTCGGGGTGGGTGTGGGAGGAGGGGTTGTTTAGGGGTGCCGGTTTGTGGCGGTTTTGGGGTGGGTATGATGGGGGTTATGTTTGGGTGGGTGGGTTTGGTGAGTAGGTTTGGTGGTTGGTTGGGGTGGCCGTTGTTGTGTGGGTTTTGGTGGTGGTGGGGGTGAGTAGAGTGATGAGTTGGGGGTGGAGGAAGTATAGGGGGAAGATGAGCTGGCTGAGAGGATGGAGTGATATGAAAGTAGTGTGCGTGCTGGTTTTGGCAGGTCGGTGTTTTTGATGTGTTTGTTTAGCCTGAGGATGTGTTTTTGTTTAATGGGGCATGTATTTTGTGTAGCGGTGTGGCCGGATGTGTTGCAGTGAATTTCTGTTGGCGACATTCATCGAGAGTGTGTGTGTCCGACCCGCATTTTGGGCATAACATTGGGAGTTTGCATGAATCTGAGATGTGTGAGTATGAAAAACAGTATTTGCATTGTTGTGGGTTTTTGCGTGTTGGATGTACTTTGTAGGTAAGGGCGCCAAATGTAATGTGGGTGGGGAGTGTAGTGGTGTCAAATGTGAGGAAGGTTTTTGTGTGTTGGGGTTGTAGGTGGTGGGTTGTCTGTTGTTGATAGTTCTATAGTTGGTGATTTTTGGTTGGTTGGGGATGCAGTTTGCGATGCTGATGTAGTGTTTAATATCTGATTCAGTTTCTCTTGTGTCTATGTAAATAACGCCTTGGATGGATGTCTGCCAGCGTAGATACTGCCAACTTATCTGTTTGCCGTCGATGAGTGTGTTATTTAAGATGTTGTTTAGTGCTTGTTGGTCTGTGAATGTGATTTTGAACCCTCGTCCGCAATTATTTATGTATTTGTATTGTATGTTGTGATGTTTGAGGCAAAGGGCAAATTTGTTTATTGAGTAGGTGTGGTTGAGTGGCGTGTGGGTTTTTGTAGCAAAGGCAAGGAGGATAAGTTTGTTTTCTTGGGGTTGAGGTGGGGTAGCTTTGTCACATTTTTTTTTGCTAGATTGGTTTTCAGTGGGTGAAATGTGTGGGCGTTTGGTGGATTTAGTTTTGTTGCTTGGGGGTTGTGAGGGAGGGGGTGGTTGATTGGTTGTTTGTTGGGATGGGACAAGGGAGTCGAAATCAATACCAAAATTTTGTTGTTGTGGGGAGGTGAGGGGTGGGAAGTCTTTGGTTGGTGTGGAAAACAGTGAGAGGGTAAGGGAGGGGGAGGGTGTTTGTTTGGATGGGTGGGCAGTAGGGGCTGGAATTATGTACACTATGTACAGCAATAAATACAAACAAATGGAAAATAAGCACATATATACAAGAAATTAGGAAAAGAAATGAGAGATGAGTTTATGGAGAGCAGTAGCTCGATTGTTTTTAGGTTTTACGAATAGTCTCTGGGAGTAATAAACAGTTTTTCAGGGGGAAACACTTGCGTGTGTCCTGGCCCGAGGGCCGCGGTGGTCGGCCGGTGGGGTGAGGTCTGAAGGCCTGTTTGTTGTGGGCTTGAGAGGAGGAGGAGATTGGTGGTGGCAGGGCCAGCTTTTTGTTGATAGCAATGGCGGCGATCGGCGATCGGCGATCGGTGAGGGCGATTGGTGTCACCAGTGACGAGCTCCAAGCGCAAAAGTGTGTGAATCTAAAACCTGGCCTTGACTGAGGGGCTATGGGCGGACTTGACCGTGGAGTTTGTTATGGTTGGTGATTGAGAGGTGGCGGGGGTCGGTGGTGGCTGGAAGCGCGGACCTCGGAGGAGACAGTAGTTGTTCGGAGGTAGAGTTGGTGTGAAATAATGAAGGAATAGGGCCCGTAAGTAGGTCACGGCACTTTGCGAGACCTTACGTTGTTTTGTACTTCCGGTGACAAAGAACGTTTGATAGTGAGCTTAAAGAGGATCGAGGTTGAGAGGTGGGCGCAGACGTCGGAGAGGACAGTCACGAACATATGGTGAAGTTGAAGTGACTACATACCTATCCGTGAAACAATTTATTAATGAAATGATAGGCGAGAGCTTTCAATACAACTTATAGCTCATGACAGGTAATTAATGACAGATGGTCAGATTGGGGTGTGCTGATAGTTATAGCCCGGGAAAGCCACTTTTAAGAAAACAAGAGTTGAAAAAAGTGTGGCAATGGGTATGGTTGAGTAATTGTGTGAATGCGGGTCTCCCGGCAATGTGCTATTAGCTAATCCATGTTACTGTAAATAATGCAGATTTTTAAATATCACTCTAAATAAGCCAAATTAAGTCGAACTGAGCTGAATTTTCTGTCATGAAACTTATAAGCATACTTTCATTCATTTACAACCTCCAAACCATGGAAAAACATGTATTTTGAGTAAAAGTAAATATACTCGCCTGAGAATTTTTAATAACGCTCTAAATTAGCCGAATTAAGTCAAAATGAGTTGAAATTCTGTTTCATGATGCTTGAAAATATACACTCATACATTTACAGCCTTCAAAACATGGGGCACCCATGAGGAGCCACCTCCTCATGGTGGGTGTTGGGTAACTCAAAGGCCGTTGTTGGTATTTGTGGGGAAGTGTCAAATGTTACCCGTCTTCGCAGTGGCTCGCTTCTTGTCGAGCGTGAACGGAGACAGCAATCTCTAAATCGTTTGTCAATTAAAACATTTGCAAATATAGAGGCTGCTGTGTCTGTGCACAGAACATTAAATTCCTGTCGCGGCATCGTTCGAGACAGAGCTCGTTGTTTGACAGACATGTCTGAAGAGGACATTGCTGCAGAATTAAAGGAACAGGGTGTCAGAGCAGTAAAACGTTTTACTGTGAAGAGAGACGGTATCATCACTAAAACAAATACCTATCTGTTAACATTTGCTCGTTCAACAATTCCACAATCAATTAAAGCAGGCTATTTCAATATCGGAATGGATGTGTATGTCCCCAATCCACTCCGATGTTACAAATGTCAGAAGTTTGGCCATGGCTCACAATTTTGCCGTAACTCTGTGGTGTGTCACCGTTGTGCCGACCACCATGAGGGTATTGATTGTGAAAATGATCTGAAATGTGCCAATTGTGGCGGACAACATCCAGCTTCGTCTAAGTCCTGTCCAGTATGGCAAGGAGAATCTAAAATCATGAAGCTCAAATGTGAAAAATACATTTCATACTTTGATGCTAAAAAAATGTTCCAAAATCAGACCTCAACTCCAATGAATATCACCTATTCTGCTGCAGCCACTCGTTCTGTAACAACGTCAACTATTGCTTGTCAGACTGACTTGACTTGGGTCACGTCAGAAAAACCTGTTTCAGTTGCTCCACGAAAGTGCTCAGCTACGGATCCTATGTCCCCAGCCACACAGTCTACCTCTGCTTCTCAGACTGTGAGTCAGCCTGAGATACAGTCAAAAGCAGTACACAAACAGCCTCACTCAGCAAGTTCAGCAAAATCAAAAGGAAAAAAACTAAACAGAAAAGAGACACCTTTTGTCCCTTTACCTTCAGAGCTCCCTCTGGATACCCCTTTGGACCTCTCGACATGGAGGTCACATTGTCCTCACAGGACAAGCGGAGGAATAGCTCCTCCTCACATTCACGAGGGAGATCTCCAGTTGAACCACCATTATGAGTCAATTGTCTCATATAATTCAGTGGAATTGCATAGGGTTGAAGAATAACATACCTTAGAAATACTGATACCTTCAACTTATGACGGTTTAGTGATTATCATTCCTTCTCCCCTCCAGGCGATAAAGCTACTGGAGGCGCCTCTATTTTGGTACACCAGAGTATCATTCACAGCCCTCTCACTTTAAATACGGATCTTCAAACTGTTGCTGTTCGTCTGACTCTGCACATTGCTCTGACATTGTGCAGCTTGTGTATACCTCCCTCTTTAAATATTCAACAATCAGATCTTCAAAATCTGTATAATCAACTTCCGAAGCCATGTATCATCATGGGCAATTTCAACGGACACAACCCGCTTTGGGGAAGTGCCCATACTAATAACAAAGGTAAAATCCTTGAAGAATTTATTTCTGATAATAATTTATGTATTTTAAATGACGATTCAGCCACTTATTTACATCCATCTACAGGAACATATTCTTCCCTGGATCTGTCACTTGCCGATTCCAACATATGTAATAATTTGAATGGATGGTTCATGATGTCCTGTGTGGTAGTGATCACTTCCCCACGATTCTCAAAACAATTAACCGTGGTGATGATCCTCCTTCATCAAGAAGGAACTTCGCCAGGGCTGATTGGTCATTATATGAAGCTTTGTGTGTTGAACACTTAAAACATGATATATTTGCGAACAGCGAAGATCCTATACAATTGTTTCGTGATCTCCTCAATGACATTGCTGACCAAACTATACCCAAGTCCTCTGCAATTCCACATATTCGTAAACCATGGTTTACTAATGACTGTAAACAGGCCAGAAAGAGTAGGAAAAAAGCTGAGAAGTATTTACGCCGACATCCTACTGTCCATAATTTAGATGAAGTTTTAAATGCCAAGGTGCGACGCGCATTTAAGAAGAATAAGCGTCAGTCTTGGAGGAAATATGTTTCCAAGATAAATTCCCGTACACCAATTTCAAAGGTGTGGACATGATCCAAAGAATTAAGGGCAAAGGTTCCAAATCTACTGTTCACCATCTGAGTGAGTGAGTGAGTTAAAATTTAACGTCACATCGGCAATATTTCAGCCATATCGTGACGAGAACATTTGACATTGAACTAGAATATATATAGATATTATAAAAACCTGCCGACGAAGGACAGTAAAAATACTAGATAATCACAGATATGAATATAAAACTAGCGAACAAAGCTAAAATATTCCAATTAAAGAAGACAATACAATGTAAAAATGGGCTATAGATAGCTAACAACTGAAGGTAGATCACCATACTAAGGCGTTCACCCTCTGAAGGATGGTGACAATATATTAACAGGTAAGTCTGACATTGCCAATAAGCTTGGTGAAACTCTCGCCAAACACTCTTCTTCGTCAAATTACGTACCTGAATTTCAACAATATCAGAAACAACAGGATGCGAAGAGAATAAATTTTAACTCAGACAATGGCGAAGACTATAATGAATTATTTTCATTACATGAGCTACATACTGCCCTTGAGCAAGCTCATGATACAGCAACAGGAGCTGATAACATACACTATCAGTTCTTGAAGAATTTACCGGAATCATCTTTGGAGACTCTTCTAAATATTTTTGAAATAATATTGACTTCATGGAATTTCCCAACTTCGTGGCGTAAAGCCATAGTAGGCCCTATATTAAAGCCTGGCCGGGATCATACTGATCCGTCTAATGACAGACCAATCTCTTTAACGAGTTGCGTCTGTAAAACTATGGAATGAATGGTAAATAATAGATTAACATGGTGTCTTGAAACCAATAATCTCAAAATAAATATTCAATGTGGTTTCAGGAAAAATCGTAGTACCATTGATCATTTGGTACGTTTGGAATCCTTTGTTAAAAATGCTATAATACATAAACAACATGCTCTATCGATATTCTTTGTCCGAGTGGGTTCAACCCTGTGTGACCATTATAATCAGGATCAGGGTGTCCGCCAAGGAAGTATTTTGTCTGTCACTCTATTTAGCGTTAAGGTCACAACTTATCCAAGGTTTTAAATGATTCAATCGATGAATCACTTTTTGTGGATGATTTTAACATTTCTTGTCGCGGTAAGAATATGCATACTATTGAAAGGCAACTACAGTTGTGTTCAAATAAAATACATAAATGGTGTCTTGAAAACGGCTTTAAATTTTCTAAATCAAAAACCAATTGCATACATTTCTGCCGTAAATATAAACCACATAAAGACCCAGAACTATTTTTAAATGGCACTCCCATTAAGGTTGTAAAAGAGGCCAAGTTCTTAGGTCTGATTGTTGACTCCCATTTAACCTTTCTTCCGCATATTAAATGCCTAAAAACTATATGCATGAAGGCACTCGATTTATTGAAAGTCGTTTCTAATTCAAAGTGGGGAGGGGAGAAACTACTTTATATGTGGCCACCTTCCTGTTATACACCACAGCCCTTTACAGTAATTCACGACATCATGTAATAACATGCTATTTAGTGTTTATGTTTGATCTTTTAATTTACACTTGTATATTTATGCTATCAAAAGGGCTATCACATACTGGTGTAAAATAGTAAAAATGTCAAATGAGCGATATGTAAAGAAATGTTAAAACACGCTTGTACAAATGGAATGCTTACGTGAGCTGGGCATCTAGGAAAAATCATACATTAGAAGTCTATGGATTTGGATTTGTTTGGCAGGAACAGATGGTTCGAAGTGAAACTTGAGTAGAGCCTCAAAGTTTCGTATCAACAAGACTGGCATTCTGCACTAATAAAAGGCACAAACACATTTGGATACTCGTTGTTTAATCCTATGTTCGTTGTTGAATGTTATATCTTCATAGTTAGCTATTTTAAACATAGAGGTGCTCTTGCTCAGTTTAGATCGGGGTCTTATAAACTACGAATAGAAGGTATATTGGTGAGGCTAGAAATGACAGATTATGTAATATCTGTAAACTGTATATAGAAGATGAATATCACTTCATACTTATTTGTAATAAATATCAAGCGTCTGTACATCCCTTTACACTTAATGAAAATCCACCAATCCAAACATTTGATACACTTTTGCAATAATCAAATGCAAGCATCTTAAAACATTTATCAGCATATCAAGCTATGTTACTGAGACAGTCTTCTATATATCTCAGTGTACAACCTGGGACTATGGTCTATAATACTTATCAGAAATAAACCACCATGGAAAGTCTGATAAAGTAAAGGTATTTACTTACAAAATAGTTCTATGCACATTTCAAAGCTATGTACAAAGGCAATGGGAGCAATAGTGTCTCCAATTGCAGAGATCCAGCTAGGGTCCATGCAGGTAGCAAAGGCACTGTAAGTCCCCATGGTCCCTAGTATGGTGATCTACCTTCAGTTGTTGGCGATTACTGGCCCATTTTTAC